TATATGCCCCCTCAAAGTTGACAACTTCAATGTGTGTAGGTCAAAGTCCATGATACTTTTACCTATGGAATTTAGATTTTTAGTGACATTTTTTGTGTGTAGGCATAAGTCATTTTTCTTGTAGTGTTTTCATCAGTACACCAAACACCAGAGGGAAGAACAAGCCCATGTATGTGGTTGCGCTTTCTCCTAATGATCGTTTGTGCATGAAAGAAATGAGTGTTTCGACTCCCCAAAGAATCCACTTCTCCCTAGATTTTTGAAACTAGAAAGTTTGATGAAAACCTTAAGGAGAAATTAGATTGATGTAGTTTCTCCTTCAAGCTTTTTCTTAGACCTTTGGTTTCTTGACATTTCTTAAGTTTCAATGTGTTCTCCAATGGAGTTGAAGAACTTGTGATTCATCTTCAATGGTGAAAAACTTTCTTCAAGTGATACCACTTCTTTAAGAGATAAATGACTTCAAAACTCTCCACACTCTATGAAAAAAGATAAGAGAATTAGAAGTAAATCAAAGAGAAATTTAAGCTTTTGAAAGAGAGAAAATGAGAGAATATAACTTGTCGATCTTCACAAATGATTCAAAAGTGAGGTTTACATATAAAGAAACAAATATATATATATATATATATATATATATAGATATGTAAAATTTGACCTATGTCCACTAAAGGCTCATTTGTTAGTTTTACCTACACAACTACTATTTTCCCCCCATTACTAAAACCAAAAATATAAAAATCTATGACCTTTAATATAAGGTCAAATAAAGTAAAAGTCTCCAAGAAATATATCCTTACCCTAAAATCCTAAAGGCATGACCTATAAAGAAAAATAAAAGTGTCTTAGAAATACAAAGGTAAAAATAAGTCAATACATATATCTACTTTGTACAAGGGAAAGAAACTCAAACTATACAAGATATATACAATAGAAACTATGAGACTAAGTAGAAGAAACATACTCAATATTCATATAAAACACCTCCTCTCTAGAAACCTCCTTAAGCCTCCTAACCATGAACCTAATTAAAATTCCAATGGCCTTCAAGTGTAAGCTTCCTATTCAACAGAAGTTCACACTACAAGTTATATAAAAAAGCTGGGTCAACATTCTCCAAAACCTTTTGAATACCACAAAGGCAAGCTTCAAGCTCACATTTCCACCAAAAAATAATCCCAAAAACCTCCTTATTAAGAGCAGCAAAATCTTACAATAGATGTTGTAAAGCAAAAACCACATTCCCTTCGCCATGCGTGATGAACAACATTAGTATAGTCATCATGCATGCACCAAGCTACCTAAAACCTGAAAGGACGATCCTTGCAACCACAAAGAGTATGTTTACAATGTAGTAATAAAAGGTTGCAAGTCGAATGCTTGCAAACCAAATTCTCAACCATGGCCTCGAGAAAAGCTAACCGCCAGGCCTAATCACACACAACCTAATCAAGTCAACACGATATTAACAAGCCGCCTATACCCTCTTTTTGCCACGTAAACATGCTATCGAAAAATTTCAGATCAATTAAAAAACATTCATGAAGCATTTTAGCAAAAGCATACACCTTAAGTTGGGAGAACACTCCCCTTTATTCTAAAAAGGACGAAGATATCATTAAAGTCCCCAATCAAAGACTAGGGAAAATAAAATTGCCCACAATGCTCCTTCAAGTAGCTCCAAGGTTCGCCACACAACAAAATTCGGGCTTGCATAAATGGTTGAGCACAACCAAGAGCAATTACAACAAGAGATGTTAATAGTAATGCACTGAGGCATGGATTCAACACACCCAAAAAAGAAGCATGAGCCCTTCTCTGCAAGTACCCAGATTCCACCAAAGTGGCCATAAGTTTCCTCCACAACCACCAGTAGATATCCATGTTTATGTCAAAACATATACGCACTTTTTGAAGGAGTATGAGTCTCAGAGGAAAATAAGGGTTGGATGGAGTTGCAACACAAGGTCCCTCATATGACAATGGCTCCATTTATTTGCAAAGTCATGAACATTCCAAGAAAGAATTAAATAGTCTTCAAAATCAGTCATCCCAACCATATTAGAATACAACATTCTCGAGGCCACCAATCCTTACTCCTTTAAGCACGCTTAGTTTCCATTTCATCATCCTCATCGCTAGCATAATCGCACCAAGGGAACCCAACGTACTAGTGCCTTCTCCAAAAGGATCAAAATGTTCAGGATGGTTGGAGCATGCAAGTATGAAATCAGCAGAACTCAAGCCACCACAACCAATACCTCTTGTCACCGCCAACCGCTTAGTATAAGAGCATGTAAAAACTTGCATGGGAGCGTCCGCATCCGTATCAGGTGGGTCTACATGCCCTTTTTTTGTCCATAGGGACTAAAGAAGACCCTAAAGTCAAGTCTTCGCCATGTTTCAAGGCAAAACTAGAGGGAACAAAAGTATGCTCCCCTTCACGAGACTCTTAATGCGGGGGTTTAGGTTTTTTCACATGAACCACATTCAGTTTAACAGGTGTCCCCATGGGTGTATGTTTTGCATCCATTGATGATTTGTGAATCGCCTCCTCCCCACGATTTGCACTATGCAATACGTGAAAGTTATTGCTCCCCAACAATGTAGTAGAATTTACATGGACCCCTACCTTTCATACATGCTCATAATTTTTTATTTTTAGAAACAGGAATCCAATCATTATAAAGATGATTCTCTTCCACGATATCTATTATATTTGTCATAGACATTTCCTACAAATCTCTCAAGGAACTAGGATTAGGGTTAACATGTTGCCCCTCTTGTGCTGTTTCCAACGACCCAACCCCTAACAACAGCCTCCAAAAATCGCAATAGACATAAACAGACACTTGGCCACTATGTGTTCCTAAAGCTCACACTTCTTGCAAATTAGATGAAGACCCATATATTCAACCCTAAAGCAATGTTCATGAAACCATACCCGCCCCATCACTGGGTCATTCAAATTTATCGCCACATAAATGTGCAAACTAACCCTGAGAGGCGTCAACAATCCTAATACCAACCCAAATCAACTTTCCCACTATCGCAGCTAAAGCCATAAGGATATTCTCATCATAATACTTCAATCGTACCTACACCAGAGTGCTTTCAATCTTAACCTTAGAGGCAACAAAATCTAGCACCCACAGGTGAACTGTCAAATAGTAATCAAACACCATCCAAGGACCCCCAGATGACACCAACTCATTATCTTGAGGAAGGTCAAATTTTATCATGTAAAACTCAAAGCCAACATCCACCATGTCAAAGTCTTCCGTCAAACGCTAGAGCACCCTCAACATATCCCTTAACGTGAAAAAACTCAAGAATTTTTCCCACAACTTCACAATAATAGCATATTTCCAAGGAGCACGAAGATCTTGGAGCACTGAGTCATCCATGAGGCACTTAAGTTGCAACCTATCTCCATCTTCCAACTCACTAAAAACTTCTTGAGAGTAAGCAGATCAACCTTCACTCAATGTTGAATTGTCGATTTTCCTAAAACCTTATACCGAAAAGAAACCCTTCTCTTTTCCCTTCCATCTGGCAGCTCTGGAGGTGGAGGAAAAAGTGGAAGAGCACCAGAGGACAAATGACCATCAATATCCATTATCGAAAAAATTTGAATATTTTGTCCAATGTTCCTTCTTTTTTTATTAAAAGAACCTTTTTTTTAATTCCGAGATCAAGGAAGACCATGAGGATTAACCAAAAAGAAGGCAAACAGAATGGATTCTAACCAACGGCTGAACTAATATGAAAAGAAAGGATTAATCCTTAATTTATACTTCTACAAAATTAGTTTTTAACAGTTTTACTTACCATTAATCTCTCAAAAATTTAAATTATCACTATATTAATCTTCTAAAAATTCAATCACCGAATTTTTCCCTAAAAATTTGTATCAAATTATTCGTCAACAGTTTTACATTTTATGTTTTTCAGGTTCCTCGTACTATTTTCCCGCATTATATATTATATATAAAAGACAAATCTCTTTATGTATCTCATAAATTTAAATCTCAACGATTTCATTCAACCCCCAACAAAGCCAGGTCTAATCAAGTATCTAGAAATTGTTAGCATACAAAAGTGCAAAAGATTTTCTTGTGTTTTCAAAAGCTATTTTAAAAAATTATAAAATAAATAAATTAATTAACCCAACATAGAATGAGTATAATTTTCATAAATGCTTTGGGTTACGTATATTTGTAATCCCCGAACTTATTTTAGTGTATTCCACCCATCTATTTATTAAATTATGCAAATTTAAACTCTGTATTCTAACACTTAAACTCTCTCAATTCTTCACCAAAATCTTCACAAAAAAAATATGATAATTGACCGACAAAAGTCCTAACAAATTGAACTAATTAGATTTTTTTAAAATAACTTAAATCAAAACCCACTTATCGAAACATCAAATTCCACCCAAAATAAAAATATCATAAAATTTCCTCTTCAAACCCTAATTTTAATCACCTCGGGGAAATCCTTCAAATTTATTAAATTTTCTTCAAATATTTTACTACTAAACTAAAAAAATACTATACATCTTAAACTCGTCATAAACCACCTAATATTTCAATAAAAAAAATATAAATTTAAATAATTTAGATAGAAAAAATTGACAAGGTGGCCAAATTTGCTCGATTTAAAAGATAGGATTTATCTCGAAAATCTTGAAGACCAAAATTGAACATAAATCAAAGTAAAAATAAAAATAATAACAGTAATAATAATAATAATAATAATGAAGACTAATAATAAATAAATAAATAAAATAAAATAAAAATAAATAAACAAGTAAAAAGTGCAAGCCTAAACGCAATTAAACTTCATTTTATAATAGAATTTGCACTGGACAGGTTATTTTAATGAACAAATATGGCATGTTTAACCGGTGAGCGTCGAAAATTTGTCGGTTTAAGGCAATGTTAACACTGATCATCATAAGCATCAAATCGGAATGAACCAACTAACCCAGCAAATTAGACCACCAAAGCTAAGTATGAAAAAACTGATTTAATTACAAAGGAGAAATGATTTTCCTGTAATTAATATTCAAACTAAATATCCTAAATAGTAGGGCAAAACAAAAATAAAATGCCCTTCTCTATAACAGAATTTAGCCAAGGGAATTTACCTCAGCATATCTACAACCGCTATGGCAGAGATATTACACGAGCAAATTACATCAAAACCTTTTGCTTACAAAATGATAGATAATAAGCCGTCTTAAGAATTCAAATGGCCCATTCTCCAGTTGCAGTACTCAAGGTAAATCTTGTTTATCTAGCAACTTTTTCACTCCTTCAATCGTTTACTGGGAACAGAATTAGGCATTCTGAAATAACAACTAGGAAAACTGAGCATATACCTATTATATGAAATACTCACTCCTAAACCAAGCTATATAAAAAAGTATCAAGTTTAAATATAGATCCTAAAAATGTTATTTAAGAGCAGTGATAAAAATGCAGAAAATAACTAGGAACATTGAGAGGAAATGCGTAACATAAATAGGAGTTCAGGACGAAAACATCATATGCTTCCACACTAGATAAAATCCTATTTTAAGTTACCTCGGGGAGCTAATACGCTTTTCCATTTGCTGATTAATGGCATTACATGACCTAGTCTCAGCATCCAAAGCCTGAAAATCATAGTGAATTAATACAAATAGTTACAATTTCGTGACAAGTCAGGCAATTCACTATCACCTAGTAGATCAACATTTTCCCCTATACAGCAAACCACATAATAAAAATTCCTTTAAACAACCTAGTTTAAGTAAATATATCATGCAGTACCAATTATACGAGTCTGTACAAATTCCATGTATCTATCTTTAGACCGCTGTTAAGAAAATAATTAAACCCACAACATAAACATAGGAAAAAGTAATTGATTCCTTCTTGTATTGCCAACTGAACTGGAAAGAAAGCAGCAACAATATAATTTAGAAGCATGAAATAGCAATGTGGCTGAAATGATAACAAGGCAGTACTTGGATAATGGGCAGATACCAGGGACTGACTACCAAGCCATTACCTTTTAAGCAGGAATTTAAGAAGCCTGTCTAAGACAGCAGTAGCAGACGTGAAGCCAGTTCACTCCCCATTCAGTGATTTAGCCTTCACAATGATGCTACACATTCCATAAACGATGTGATTTCTCTATACAACCACTTTCATCTGGAATTTCTAGTCCACATACCCCTTATCCAAGCATCACCTATTTCCTTAAACAAACAAGTCAAATCAACTACCAAAAACATAAAAAATCCTCACCTCAGAAGCATTTTCTCTAGGAGCTCCATCTTCTGCTTGCAGTTCACTGGATTCCGGATTGACCACATCCCACAAGAAACCATTGTCATGTCCAATAGAAAGCTTGTCAAATTCCCTATCAACAGCTCTACATTGAGGCTCCACATGTGCCACATACTTATCTGTAATTCCATACAACAAAAAATGCATTCGGTGTTTAATATAGTTCCAATAAAGGGCCAAAATTTTGGATTTATAACAATGTATTAACCTGAATAACCTTTGTTAACCAACGATATCATGCCATACACCAGTAACATGCAGAGAAGAAATTCCTCAATCCCAGACAAAAGTTTACAAAGAATATTTACCTCTTGAACCTAGTATGAGATAAGAACCTTGGGAGAACCACACCACAAAAGCTACATGTTGTAATTGGAGAGCCCAAGGCCTTATAAAAACCACACTCCTGATTGTTCAACATGCTTCAATATGTACAATTTTCATAAACCACCAAAATAAAGAATCTCAGAACCATTCTATATGCATGCATGGTAATGGAAGGGCATATTCAGACACTTGTAGTCAAGCAACAAGAAAATGCTATCCCTAACCAGAAAGAAGAAAAGAAAATTCTCCACATATCCCCTAAACATAACCAATAATGTCACACCAAAGGCAGAAACAATATCTTACCTATCAATCTGTGTATTATAAAAAAGGATATGTGTACCCCTATGTTCTTTCTTCATTACAAAAAAAGGAAGAAAAACTATAAAAACAATATCATCAGAACACATTTTTAGACTTGGTTTGAACAAATAGTGTTTACCAGCTAGGCTGCGTAGGGCATTCTCAGCAGCTTGTTGTTGAGCATCCTTCCTTGTCCTACCCATACCAACACCTATTTTCTCACCAGTGAATAGTACCTATATCCAGGCACAAGACAAATTTACAGCACAGGTTATGAATCAATTAAAATAGAGAAGACAAAAACCAAAACTAAACTTATTTCAGAAGCAAAAGTAACAAAAATACCAAACAACAAAAATTATACAGTTTAAAACCATAAGTCAATTAATGCATATAACACAACTCATTACATAAACAAAGAGTAATGAAGTTAAAAAAATGTTATAAACATGCATACAAAGGCATATATAATAATAAAATAAGACATCAAGAAACAGAACTGTCACTGACCTCCACTGAAAACTGCAAGTCTTTGCTGGTGCTTAGGATGGACTTAAATTCAACCTATAAAGGGAAAATGTGAAAAATGCACTTTCTAGAAAAACAGGCAAAAAAATGTGATCAGTTAGGTGCAGAAACCATGCCTACCTTAGAGTTACACCGCCTCCCAATTTCTTGCAGCACTTGAATAGATAGAGGGGGTAAGAAGTTCAATTTTCCAGCTTCATTTTGAAAATCTTTACTGTTAGAAGATGCATGATTCTGAGATATCCCATCCTCTGCAGAAAGTTTGGGCAATAACACAACACAGAAAACAGCAATTACTATACACAGCAAATATTTTATGTGTGGCAGTTTCTAAAAGGCAGCTTACTTCCATTTTAGAAAGTATACTGCATATCAGATGCACAATAACCACTTTTGCATGTTATGATCTACTACTCAATCAACCCACATGCCCATGTGTGTATAAAATATTTGAGGAATTCATGTCTGTACTGCACGCCATGCAAACAGGGATTGCTAACATTCATCCACTTATTTTTTAGAAGGAATATGAAGCCTAGATATAATTAGTACAACAAATGAAACGACACTAATATGGGGATACAACAATTTTTTTAAAATCTAGGATATGTTTTGGATACATTAATAAAATTTTATAGAAAAATTTATATAAATATACAATATTGGTAAAGAAAGAGACATTAATTCATAACTAAGATGATTACAATTTACAAAAGACATTTGTGATCATAACAACACAAATACTGTTTTTGCCCGTACCAAGTCAATTATATTAGTAAAAGCATCTTGGGTAGAACTTAAAACTAATATTGGTTCTATAGAATAGCCTATGACTCAAAAACATCATTACTAAATTATCGTCTAATGTTAATTGTATTACTCTCTTCTCTCTTGTTACCATCAGCTGGATAAAAACATTGTTTCAAAGTTTGGTTTATCAAGAAACAACTTTATCAATTCAGGAAGTCTAACACTATCATCAAGTGAATGATGTATATCTCTACCGATGTTCCACAACCTAGTCTCTCCTTTTTTATACCCTTCGCCTTTCATAGAAAAAAGTTGAAGGTTGAAATACTCAAACCAAATTTTCTACCCTTTTGGATCCATTTCGTTTTCCTTCAAATAATGTATAAAGGATTATGTACTTCAATTCCTTTAATAGGATGACAAAAAACATGATTGTACAAAAAGCTTAAGACATGCTTTTGAGATACTTTCAGATGTGTATCTAGAAGTATCCAAGAAAAAATGGTGAAAAACATAAATAAAAGAAATTGGATACATTTTGAATATGTATCAAGAAGTAACTGAGGAGTATTGATATCCAACACGAGTATGACACTGATACTTTCCATTCTTGGAGTATACAAGCTTCATCAATCAACACATTAACAAGTTATAACTTAAGTGCTCTTAAAATATGCCACCAAGGTGTAACTTCCTAACTTATTCCTTTTTTAAAAACAACTAAGTACCACAATTACCATTATTACATATAATATATATTCCAAGGTCCGAATTCTGGAATAAATTATGATACTACCTTTTCACACTTTTATTAATACAACTCCTTTATGGGAGAAAACCCCTTGTTGTCCTAAGATATTTGCCTAGAGATACAAAGGTTAAAGCAGAAACAAGGGAAATGGTGGACAGAGAAGATTCTTTGAGACGGCTCATAAAATTCAAAGAAAGCACAGGCACAAAAGAAGAAGAATGCAAATATGCATAGAAGGGATTTAACAGAACCTTACCCTCTGATATACATGTTTAATATCAGAAGAAACCAGAAATAAATTTTAGTCAAAAAAAAGTAGGCAAACAAGGAGAAGAGATGGCTCAATGACTCACTCAGAGGAAGGGCAAATCAGTGGGTGGTGCTACTTGGGAAGATGACTTTGCCTTGCAATGTCAAATTCATAATTTCAGTGTTGAAGACAGTCCTGATTTAAAGTGGAGGGTAGTGAAAGTGATAGAGATCCAGAACAAGGCAATGAAATGGTCACCCAGAAGGATAGGATCACATGTTGTATAAAGACCTGGTAATGCATGCAGTGGAGTAACGAAAGATATCTTTAGACAAGATGGTTAGACTAGGAATATGATATCTCTTTCTGTTTTTTGGCTCTTTAGGGGTATTTCACTGTTAATTTGTAACATCTTTATGCAATACACAGTTAAGCCAGCATTTATTAACAGTTGGTTTTCTATTTGAGTCCCATCAGAGAACCAGAGAATCAAAACAGAGCAGACTAATTAAGTTAACACAAAAACAGAGCACGAAGGATGTTGCTCCTGCATCATTAACTGAAGGCAGAGAGAAAAAATAGAATAGTGGGGACATCAAAAAGTGAAATAGTCTAGACTACTAAAAAAAATAATAAACTAATCAATCATTTTATGAAGTCACAGACTCACAGGTTTATCTTTTTGAACAGGTGCTAAACTATGCTATGCTGCTTCCCATTTAACACTTGATCTTTTAAACAATACATCAAAACTATATTAATATCAATATCATACCAATTATATAATCATGTAAAATAATTATAGCAGCCAAGTACAAACTGGCCATTATTGCATTTTCACACAGCTCATCATACTTAATAAGAGTATCAAATAAGATCCAAAGGCTTTAAATCAGAATATATTAAGAAAACACACTTTACCTGATAGCTGAGACTTAGATGGAGCATTCTGCCTCTGCAAATCAGAAACCGAAGTTGCCTGCATATAAGCAATATTTTCAAGACAGAAAACTTTATAGTATTCCTAAAAACACTTCAAACATTGTCAAAAATGGGAGGCAACAAAATGTTCATTGACAAACCTCTTCAGCCTTATGTTGTGATGCTTGAGGGAGTACAACATTGGGGAGTGAACCTATGACACTATGAGAAAATGGTTTCTGTTGAGCCTGATGCTTATCGGATTTTACTACATTAGATTCTTTAATAGATGCTAAGGGCAAATTATTTGTCTGAGTTCTGCTGGTTATGTCATCTTCTACTGAACCACCTCCAAATGGCTGCATTAATGATAGTGATGCTTGATTAGGTGGCCTCGATATCAGTGGAGGTTCAGCTGAAATTTGACCTCTTATATCTGGACCATGCCTCAGAAGTCCTTTTCTCATGTCATAATCACGATCAACAGAGCTGCCTTCCTGCTTGACCGGAGGTCCAAGCAAACCAGGTTCTGAGACAAGGTTGGATAAGATACCGTGAAAAGAAAGCATATATTTTCAAAAGTAGAACAGAGAAACCCTAATAGCATAAGCTGTTCCATACTCTGGGAAGGAATCAGTGGTCTTGAAGATCCAGGGACAGTGACATTAATACCAGGAGTTGGCTGAGAGGTTTCAAGTTTGACCTCAAAACTGTTTGCCAAGGGTCGGGTGACTAAATCAACAGAAAATTTATCATCCTGAAAAGAATAACACAAAATAAATAAAGGGACAACTAATCTACAACTGCTCCATGCATATATATAATACTACAGGCCCAAACACTCATCACACAAACAAGAAATCCCCTACCAAGATTTACTAGAGAAGTTTAAAAACACCTTGCTACAGCCTACAGCAGAGACCAGAAATAACACATTAAAAACCTAGGAAACTTACAGGTTGGCTTAACCTCTTTTCAACTTCTGCACTATTTATTCCTTCACTCATGGAGGCATTAGCATTACCATTTGGCACATCCTGTCAGCCAGTGAACAAGGTAACATCAGAGCAACAGATAAACAAGCATCTACAACCACAGAATGATAGCACATCATCACAGATGGCTAACTATAATCAACAAATTACAAAGCACATGTCCTTCAATGTAATACCTCGGACATCAAGTAGTTGCTCACATCTGGAGGGTGAGGTAAAGTTCCAATCTCGTCTTCAAAGAATATTTCAGCAATTCTTTGTAATAAACTCTCATCAAACTCCCTGGGTACATGGTTAAGTAATTATAGCCATAGTGGGAAGAATATCTGAGCCAATAAAAAAAACTTGATCACATAACTTACTTGAAAAAACAACCTCTGACATTGCATGCAACATTTCTTGCTACACATAAGACTGGCACAGCATTGGCTGTCTAATAACGAAAAAGAAAAAACTAAAGTCTCTGTCATGAATATTTAGAAGACAAAAATTGCAATAATATACATAAACCTGTACCTCTGCTTGAGGAGCATAATAAGGAGTAAAGGCAGGAACAACATGAACCCTAGGCTGGTCCTTGTCTTCCCATACTTTTGAACGGTCATCAATGACCATTGCCATTTTCGGATGGCACATACCATCCTGGAAAACATTTAGTAGAGATTTTCGGGAGCCTGAAAATTACTCCATAAGGAAATGAATATCAAAATCCAAGAAGAAATTAACCATAATAAAGAGAGAGGAAAAAAAAAAAAGGTTGTGCAACTTGCATTTGTTACATAACCAATAAGACCCCATAGAAGAAAAAAATTAAGAGATTGAAAAGATTTAAAAATTTGTTTCATTTCAAAATTGAATGAAAAATTGTATCATGTTAAAGGTAATTAAATGAAGATTCAAATAGTTAGGAAATAATAGGACATACCTGATTTGACACAAATCACACGATCAAGGATTTGCTTTGAACCTATAAGATGTGCCTCAGGATCAAGAAGCCTCCACATTTCCAAAGCATAATCCCTTTCAGCCATAGTACAAACATAGACTTCAAACCTCTTGCGTCCTTTTGCAGTTAAATAGCATCTTAAATCCTCCCAGGCAGGCCGTAATCTCACTAATACACTAGTGTCACGAATCTATGTGAAAAAAATATAATTAAAAAAAAAGGAGAGACCTCAAACCCCTATATATCAAAAGGCTTCCAAACACAACTACAGCAATTAGGTGCAACTCTAATTACATTACATGTCCACAAAATCTAAGAAAAAATTGACAAGTTTTAGTTTTACACTGTATTTTGTGTATTTTCTAGAGAGTGATGAGATAAAGATGGTTAAGAATGCTAGACAACAACAAGATTGACAAGTTTAACACTGTATTTTGTGCATTTTATAGAGAGTGATGAGATAAAAGTGGATAAAAATGCTAGACAACAACAAAACTAAACAAAATTGATCCAAGAAAACTCTACACTTCTAATCCAAATCTCTGAGAAGTGAATCACTATATACGAGTAAAAGCAAGAATGAAGTAAGCGAATATACAACCAGTTGAAAACCCATGCTTCTCCCTGCCAAAGGTGTTTATTTTTCCCATATATACCCATTCAACTTTACGCCCAGAGTTAGAGTCAAAGAGGGGTTTGCAAAGAATTATTCCGGAAAATTTATCATTCTTCCCAGCTCTACTTTCATTCTTTATTGTTACACATTCTTATTACCCAACCATTAAAAAGGTTTGAAATTGCAGTTGCATTGTGGTCACAGCTCCATTGCGCTTTGAAGCAGGCCAATGCTATCCGCAAGCAGGGCCTAATGCAGTTGCAACGCTGTAACAGCCACAACTCACTATTATCCATTTCACCATTCCAATCCCATCTAACAATTTTCATAAAATAGGCACATCACCGCATCACACATCCCATCATCAGACACCTCAAACTTCACCTTTCATAAAATTTCACCCATACCCAAAACCCCAAACTTAAAACCCTAAAACCCCCTTCGAGCAATCTCCATCCACCACTCACCCTCCAACGGAAACCCCCAAAACACAAACACCACAACCTAACAAACAACGCGAATCAAACACGTACAACGGTACAAGACAAATTTTCCACTTGAGAGACTACAGTCAACAGTTAAAAGTCACAATCAATAAATAATAATCAATAGTTAAAACAGACCTCAGGATTGATGCGAGTGAGAACTATGTTCCTATCTTGCAACCTGACAACCGGGCGAACCAGTTTCTCGTTTCCACCAGTCAACGTCGCCACCCCCTCCATCTGAACCTTATAAACCTTCCCATTTTCAGAAACGCAATCGTTCTCCGCATACTGCTTCAGCAACAACCGGTCCTCCAGGTAGCGCTTAAGCTCCGCGGACATACCCTGCACCCGCAGCGGATCGGTCTCGCGCGAGAGCCACCCTCGCAAGGCATCAATCCTATCCTCAAACGACTTCATCGTGTTGGCCACGATGAGAGTCTCGTCCAAATCGAACACAATCGCGAGACACCGCAGGTTCAGCATCCCCAAACACGAGTGGTAGAGCCCCAACGGCACCGCGAAGCACCAGAAGCACGGGAACTTCTTCCTCTTGCTCGGCATCGAGACGAGGTGAATCTCCTCGTCTCCGACCACCGCCACCGCCGTCTAAAACGCACCGTATCAGAAACACTAAAAATTGCGGAAAGTAAAAAGCTGTATTCACTATTCAGTTCGTTTATTCATTAATTCAATCGATAAATAATGTATTGACCTTCATTTCGTAGAAGCAACTGGCGTGGATGGCGGTTAGTTCCTTCTGCTCCGCGGCGACCGAGGATTCGAGCTTGCAGCGAACGCTGAATGCCGCAATGGTTTGGAGGATCGAGAGCGGAGGGCAACGCTCGCTCTTGGCGCTGAAGTGGTGGATGCGAATCTCGTTGTTCGGGAACCGGAAGTTGTGGAACGGCGACGCCGGAACCACGTCGAGTTCGCCGACGTGCTTGTCGCCGTCGTAGACCTCGTGCTTGAACCCTAAACGACTCATCTCACTTGCGCTCGCTCAATGCAACGCAGCGGAAACAAAACGACGACGGTTAGGACAAAACGACGACAGCGACAAGAGTGCTTGCAGTTGCAGATTCGTGAATGCCGTTTTCCTCTTTCGTTCTTTTGTTCTTCTCATCATCGCGCAGAGTCACACATAGTCACACTCATTCTCTCTCTCTCTTACACTATTCAGAGAGCATTCTCTCTCGCTCTCTCTCTCTTGTTTCTCTCTCTTGAACCTGCGATTTTCAAAACATTACAGCGCTTCGATATTTATAGGCCGAAAGCGAGGGGGGGGGGGTTCGGTTGAACAGGGTACGTGGATGTCATATAAGATTACTTATATGCCCCGAGTGGCTTCAGGGAGATGTTAAGGTTACACGGTGGGTACGAATGGCGTGACCATTTCGGACACGTTGCAGTAGCATCCACCCTTCATCATGTTATCAATATTTATTAAATTAATTAATATTACACATTCTAAGATCTTAAATTTAAGTCTTAAATTTGTAAAAATAATTAACTTTTTAATATTTTTTTTTTTATTTTAAAATTTTAAAATAAAATCATAAAAAATATATATATATTAAATTAAGTTATTACATTTATATATATTAGTAAGATTGAAATATTATGTGTTTTTATTAAAAATAAGATAAAATTTGAAATTAAGTAATAAAATTATGTTAATCTAATAAATATTATGATTGATCCTTTAATCTTAAAATTTTAAATTTAATTAAAATATTAATTTTTTAATAATAAAGGGATATAATAATTTATCAAATGTAAAGAGATTAAATCATTAGAGATTAGGATAAATATGTTATAGATAATTTTTAGTATCATACTTTTTTTTAGATTTTTAGTATATACTTATGACCTCATTTCACATTTTTTAAAATTTATTTTTCATTTTTTTATCATATTTTTTATATTTTTTATTTTTATCTTTCAAAAAAGGTATACACTCTATTAGAATGTGAAAAATAAATGTTATTCTCGTCCTCGTATTTAATTTTGCATGCGTGTGTTAGTGGGTAATAAATCTTCAACACTTCAAAAGTATCTACTTTTGTCAATAATAATAAAACAATTGATTGTAAATATATTTATTTATAAATATAAATTTTTCTTTCAAAAAAATAAAAATGTCTAATTAAGAACATTAATTGTCATAGGAAAAAATAATGTAGGAGTTCCCCGTGAAAATGGTTAACTTAAACAGATTTGATATTTTGATTTTGAATTAAAGTAATATTTCGGTCCCTCAATTTGGTAGAATGTTGTTATAATCAAACATATAAAAAAAATCTAATCGGTGATCGAATCGATCAGTTGATAGTGTAAAGATTAAATTGGAGACACACTTATTAAATCGGTTAATTTAATCTGTGTTAAAAATATAATTAACATATTTAAAATATTCTATACATTAACATATTTAATATTCTTTACATCTCTAAACTTCAAATTTAAAATCACAAGTCATAATATCACAATTTTATTCTTTAAATTTAAAAATATTATCATTATAAAATAGTATTCAGTATTTAAAATTAAAATTCATAATAACAATATAAATTAGAATCTTTAACACAATTCTATTAATAAGTTCAAAAATTAAAATATAAATAATATCAACATTCACAATTTAAGTTTCATCATCAACACTTCAAAATGTAACTTTTATAAGCTCTGAACACTTTTTTTAATTATTTTTTTAATTTTTTTAGATTTTAAAAATTTGAAAATCAAGCATATTCATGGGTCCTTTACAAAAGTCCATCAATTTAATCTTACTTAACTTGATTCAACTACATAATCAATTTGATGAGTAAATTATTCCAACTTTAACATCATTAAATCAATCCGATTGGTCGATCCATCCGATCAATTTTTATAACACCATCCATAATAATTTTTTTTTTCAAGAATAGTTCTTAATACTTTAAAAAAGTAATTTATAAGTCTTTTACTTTTATTAGTATCCTTAATTTTATAACTTATTGTCATTTTAAAATTCAATGTATACAAAGTTACTGTCATTATAATTCTTAAATTTAATAATTTAATAATTTAATATCATATAAAGTACAACAAGGATCAGAATAACCAACAAAATGAAAGTGAGAATTTTATGTGTTATATTTTTAATATCAAAAATTAATATGATAGCATGTTACAGTGTGTGAGAGCTAAATTGGTAGTTTACTCTTTTAATTTTACAAAAGCCAATACTTATTCAGTTTTAAAACAATTTGTTCGGAAGCTATATCCATGACATGAGTCATTGTAAAACACTCTATAATATATTTTTATGGTCTTATTATATTTAATGTATTTATTTTTATAAAAAGAAAATTAGAAATTTAGTTCCTTTTTATAAGAATTCATTTTAAAAAATGCTGCATTAATTTTTTTTTTAAATACTCTTATTAGCCTATCATGAGTGATTTCTTCAAGTTCAAATTAAATAAAAAAGCGGGATACGTTAATATTAATGTCCTAAGTACTTTAACTTCGTTATGTATTGAGAGAATTTTGGAAACATTTCTTACAAAGATAAAAAAAAATTAAATACTAAACATATTATTAATGAAAGAGATCCAAAGAAATAAAGTTAATAAAAGTATTTTAAAAAGATAAGAGCATATGTAGTGGGAATTGCTTATAAGTAATCTTCTGTGTCACATTAATATTACGAGTAATTAAAAAAAAAAACCGGTGGATGCCAGTAGAGTTTAGTATTTGAGATTGTAATTTCCTGTTTTGTCGTGTTTGTTATCTTAGTTAATAAAAAAAAGTAATTTTGAAAAATATTTTAATTAAAGAAAATTTAATGTTATTAGTTTAACTAATTTCTTTAATTAATAAAAATTAGTTAATTGAGTATTATGAAAAAGGAATATATAATTATAAGTTAGATTTGTTAAATAAAAAGTAAGATCTAGAATTTTTTATTTTTATAAGATTTTAATGAGTGTGAAAAAATTATAAGAAACAACTTAAAAACATGACATTTTTTCATCAATTAAAAAATGGAAAAAGAAATTATCGTAAAAGCATCCAATAAAATATCAAAGACTTTGTCTTATATTTTATATCAATAAGAGTGAGTATGGTCCAACATAACCTAATGACTCAAACCTACCCAAAGTTGATTTAGAAAAGCTTAAACTTTAAAATTAGACACAATATATTTATAGACATGAATAATATTTTGGGTCATTCCAATCTGATTTAATATATAACATTTTCTTTAAAAGTGTAATTTTTTTAATTCTTTTATTAATAACTAAAATTTACTTAGTTATTAATATTTTTTTATAAAATGATATTATATCTATAATAAAATTATTTATTTTAAAATATATTGTAAAATATACCTTATTTTAAAATTTGTATTCCTTTTATTTTTTAATTTTATTAATTATACATGATATTAAAATTAATATAGAACAACAAAGTCAGGTCATTCGACCTTATCCCATATATTTTCGAGCCGTGATTGAGTTGAGTTTAAGTTTGAATTTAAAAAAATGATGGAACCAAAAATTTGGGTTGGGTTTGTTCAAGAATAAACATAATCCAACCTTTATCGATTGACAATAAATATTGAAATGCTTTAATAATAAAACATAAAATATACAAGATTTTTTGAGGAAACACAAAATATACAAGAGTTTAAGATTTAACAATCTTTAACTTTCAACTAAGAAATATCTTAGTTTACTAAAACAACAATGAATATTAAACATTCAACAATCTAAAACGTTATGCTTATTTTTTTAATTCATTAGGGTGTTTTTTAATATATCATATGCTAACAATTAGTTGAGGGTTTCAATTTTTAATTGTTAATATCCAATTTATTTTTTAAACAAATATGGTGGTTAACTTGTATTAGCTGAAATTTAAATGAAGGGAATCATTTCACTTAATTAAATGATAAGAATCTGATTCTTATAAACCCATAAAGTTTTAATTGAAAAAAAAATATCACCTATTTTTTTTTAGTGAAATAGGAGGCATTAGAGTCCAAATATATTAACTAAAACCACAAGAGAAAGATACAACAGACTTGTCTGTAAATAAGAGGAAATGAGCCCAAATAAGAAGAGTATGAAAATGTTTAAAATCGGAGGAAATAGAAAAACCTTCCTTAATAAACTTATCCGCTACTTGATTTGCCTCTCAAAGAACATGATTGCACTCTAACTTATGAAAGTCATCTATCATCCTTAAAATAAGGTTCACTAGGGAGTAACATGGATGTATACAAGAGCATCCTTCATTCAGGAATTTCACTGCTACTATATAATCTGATTCAATAAGAATGTGAGCCTGTAGAAAGTGTTCTTTAATAAGGCAGAGACCATGATAGATTGCCCATAATTCAGCTTGCACTATTGAGCAAGAACCAATCATTCCAGCAAACCCCATAATAAAAGATCCATTACTATCACGTAGGACACCTCGGCAAGAAGCCAAATTAGTGTTTGAAACATCCCCATCATAGTTTAACTTAAAGGCCCCCGTAGAAGGTGGCACCCAGCCAAAATGAGAACTTTGGTAAGGCTGGTAAGGTGACGACAATCCTTTTACATAAAAAGTGGTGGCTAAAAGTTGCATTCGGCCAAAGATCTCCCCAACCACTTGAATGGAATAGATTGGAGCATGATTAAACACATGTGCATTCTGAGCCTTCCATAACGAGTCCAGAGTGATGGCAAAGAGTTGAGCCCACCACATTTTCATTCCAATCATATTCTTACTCGACCATTTAACAAAGAAGTCTTAGAAGAAGTTGTTGTCAAGTCCGCCCCTTGCCACGTGCTGCCAAACACATTTAGCATGGATGCAATCCCGTAAGTAATGCAACACATTTTTTGGTGCATCATGACAAATTGGACAACTGTCATCTTGCATTAAATTGCGATCAAATCTCCTATCGTTGGTGCATATACTCTCTTTGGCTACTCTCCATCGGAAACACCTCACTCTTTCAAGCCTAGGCTATAGCCAAATAGTTTTGAACAAAGGGTGTGCATTACTGATATGAACTAGTTTTAAGGACTTGTACGCATACTTCACAAAAAAGCTTCCATCATGAGAGTTGCCCTATACCAGCTGGTCTTCATCATTTTCCATATGCAGGGTTGCAACCCCCATGATCTCAAGCTGCACTGACCAAGGGATTAAATTATGGAATTCCTCAACCTTCCAATCACCTTTCGCCGAAACATAATCCTACACCC